GTGAACGAGCTCACAACCCACCTGGTATTAAGTGGTTACTGGAGCTTTTAGACATCTACAACGTAAATGCGCCACCCACCTTGCGATATCAGTTCTAAGGTCTAAGTATAGTTAGAACGGCTGCCCCACCCTTCAAATCGAAACCTATTACCGCTTCACGTCAGAAATAACCAGGATGGTGGTACCTACCCGCGCGGACTCACTAGAGGTCCTACCACCAGTAAAGAACCAAATTCTCTACGGCTAAATATGAAAATACTGCCTCTACCTATTGATGATAGTGGTAATCACAAGTATAGTTCAAACCATCTACTGTATCAAGAGGTCAATGCTGGCGTGAAAGAGAGAGATAAATATATAAAATACTTCAACTAACTACTCCCAGTCTCTTAGTATTCTTATTTTTTTAGGAAGCAAGCATTAGGTGGCCCGATGGCTTTTCCAATTTCACCAGCACAGGTGGAGTCTCTTATTAATAAAAATACAATGCATAGTGTAATTATGAATTAGCATTACTTGAATTTAGATCTCAAATTATTTCTGTAGAGATATCTAAAGAATATTTTAAAAGAACATTTTTATATTAAAATACATTGTGGGTATACCAATTAAGTCTGTTTTATTGTTGATTTTCAATCGCATATATAATGTAATAAAAACATAAATATGAAAGTTTGTTTAACGGCTCGATTGATTTATAGACAGATTGACTGATGCGCTAATAAGCTCTCGGTCCGCCTGGTGTTAAGCGATCAACTTAGGCCGTAGACATCACTTAGCGAAACCTCAACGATTGAAGTATCATCCATAGGAGGTAGAAGGCTTTATTATGTTGCTTTCGTAGGTAGACGAACATACGCCTCATCTGATAGTGTGTGGTTGCCGTCGCTCAAGTTTTTTATTTTTTTATTTTTTATTGCTTAGGTGGGTGGACTAGCTCTCAGCCCACCTGGTGTTAAGTGGTTACCGGAGTCCATAGACATCTACAACGTAAATTGAATGAGTTAAAAGGGAATATATTAGCATTACGTGATCGAAAAAATAATTATCGTTGTAGCATCCAATGATTTTATAAACTTATAAAATAAAATATACATTGCTCTCTACGATTGTATCAAATTCGGCTATCACTTTTATTGCCCTTGTTGATCTATTCAACTTGAAACAATATGAAGACATTGTAAAAGTACGATTTGAAAATTAGTCTAACGACGCCGTACTGAAAACATCATCTGCTTAAACTGAGCATTTAATGCCATTTTAAATCATAATCTCGCCGATAAATTATAATTTATTGGGCGTTTCTTTTATCTGTAAATTTCTATGTAGTTTGACGGCTCTAGAAAGTGACTTCCCGTTGACAGCTGTCTTTAAGTCGTAACTAATCTGTGTCGGTGTAGTACCAGCGTCACTACCAGCGTTCTTCAGGTCACATTGCCCCCGAAAACATTTTGCTAACGACCATATATACATACATACCAGCTATCAATTAAATTATAACCAAATCGACTCATTTCCGTTCTTATGGGCGTTAATAAAAAAAAACAAATTATATATATCTTCTGATTCCTGCTCGTTGTCGAAGTCAATAAACTTAAAACGTCTCTCTTTTTAAATGTCACATAAGTTCAGGCTCGCTAGTTTGTCGCTGATGTGAGGAGATGGGTAGGTACTAATATTTTATTGCTTCAAACTTTTTAAAAGAACCTATATTTTTTGTTAGTGTTTATGAGTAGACGAGTTCAAGGTCTGGTACATTATAAGCACCCATAGATTAGTCTTTTTTTATAGCTTAGAGAGGTGGACGAGTTCACGGCCTACCTGGTCTTAAGTGGATACCGGAGACATCAGAAACGAAAATCCCGCCACCCACCATAAGAGATGTGTATCAGTTTTCTATCTCTTAGGTTTATGGCGTTTCCTTTTAGATTTCATAGTACGGATGCTTCATCTTTTAAATTGAAATGCATTACTGCTTCATGGCAGAAATAGACGTTAGGTCGTAGTACTCACCCATGCGGACTCACAACACGTCTTACCACCAGCAATTAGGCAAGCTTTAAATTTTACATGCTTCAATACATCTATAATCTACTTAGGTTTTTATAATTTAATATTAAAATTCAAATTAAATACATACGTACATACATATAACACAATCTATACATAGATTTTAAGCCATAGATTACGGCCATTCACGCCATTTTATTGCGTAATACTAAATTTTGCGAATTTCATTTTTATTATACGAATTTGCGAATTTATAGTTGAAGTCTTTCGCGAATACGCGTTAAGTATGTTTTTATTTATAAATTTGGTACCTACCTGCGATGTTTGAACCCTGATTACACGGGGCGTGTTACCCGTTAGACTACGAACGCTTAACCCACATATAAACGTACTGTAAATAAAATAAAAAAACATCGGTATCAAATGCGAACGTATAATATTCTGCTTTCTTTATTAATTAACCATCCATCAAATGTTTGAGCGAAAATAGCGGATTTAACACAGGTTAACACGATCGGGACGTGTTTCTCAAAGTTTTTTTTGTTGTAACCCAAACTGATGGAAACTTTCACATTCACAGAATATTTTCTGAAACTTTGAAACTTTTACTTCGACTTATTAACTCTTATACCAGTTCTTACTTTTTAGGTTTACTATTTATTGAGGATCGATTTTATTTAACCCGACTTCCCAAGAAGGGTAATATATTTCAAGCGTATGTATGTCAGTAGTGAACCTATGTACGTCTATGCATGTCTTATTCTTTAGCATGCTCCAAAAAATAAGCTGGATGCAGCCAGGCCTGGTTTGGTTTTAAAAAGTCGTGGCACTGCATACAGTACAAACATCGAAAATGGGCTTAGATGTGTGGACGAGCTCACAGCCCACCTGGTGCTAAGTGGTTACTGGAGCCATAGACGTCTACAACGTAAATGCGCCACTCAACCTTGAGATATAAGTTCTAAGATCTCAGTATAGTTACAACGGCTGCTCCACCCTTCAAACCGAAATGCTTCACGGCAGAAATAGGCGGGGTGGTGGTATCTACCCGTGCGGACTCACAAGAGTTCCACTAGTAATTACACAAACTATAATTTTGCGGGTTTGATTTTTATTACACGATGTTATTCCTTCACCGTGCAAGTGAATCGTGAACATTTGTCAAGTACGTCATTCATTAGAAAAATCGGTAGCCGCCTGCGGGATTCGAACACCGTTGCATTACGGTCGTCTTATCCTTTAGGCCACGAGAACTTCAAAAATCTTTTGAAAGTGCAGAAAAAATGCTATAGGCGTATCGTTAAAGATGATTTCGATTTGTAGAGATGAACTTATGCTCCTTTGGCGAGTAGTGTGGTAATAGAATGGAATCCCACGAGACGTTTACATTTATGGTATAAAACGCTAAATTTCCCTTTGTACCCTAGGCTCAAAACCTTTTAAACATATCCAAATACTTATTAGAAAAGGTTTATTAACAGTTCTTCCCGCAGTTCTCTTCGAAATTTGCATTAAACAATTTCAATATTCTTCTTGAATATATCTTGAAATAAAATGTATATGTATTACGCGATGTCAAATTTATCGTAACATCTTAAAGCAAACGTTGAATTTTAATATTTTTATTTAATTAAAGTCCGTTTGTGTTTGGTATAATAATATATACAAATAATTCGTATACAAAATAAAATTTAGGAAAAGCGTGAATAGGTATTCTGTAATATGAAGCCTTGACGTCGGGATTGTATGATTTACCCGGGCAGCCTGACGGGCCGCGGAGACCAGTGTCGTTAGCGATCGACGATTGGATCAGGTGTCCTCGGAATAGCGTTGCGAGTCTGATTGGAGTGCTGACTGCGGGAACTTCCCTACTCGGACTGAGTCCTGACCCCGGGTGGAGACGCGACGACAACTGAGAAAGTGTGAGGAAGTGAAGAAGCAAACGCATACTGGTGGAAGAACCACTTGTGAGTTCGCATGGGTAGGTACCACCACCCTGCCTATTTCTGCCGTGAAGCAGTAATGCGTTTCGGTTTGAAGGGTGGGGCAGCCGTTGTAACTATACTTGAGACCTTAGAACTTATATCTCAAGGTGGGTGGCGCATTTACGTTGTAGATATCTATGGGCTCCAGTAACCACTTAACACCAGGTGGGCTGTGAGCTCGTCCACCCATCTAAGCAATAAAAAAAAACAAGAAAAAAAGCATCATTGGGCCCGCCAAAAACCCATATACTACGCGCGCACCCTAAGCGCGGAAACCGCATAAGGTTCGGCCCGCCGCAAAAAAACAAAATGAATAATTTAAACAGCAACAAACAAAGTCTATTCAATTTCAATATGAATATCAATAAAAAACATTATGAAGCGTCGTCGTATATTAAAGATAGAAATAAAATAAAAAACCTCAAAAGTCTAGCCGAACGTTAATATTAAGTCTAAATTTATGATTTACCTGTCACATCGAAATATCCAAACTGTGCGCCCACNCCGCAAAAAAACAAAATGAATAATTTAAACAGCAACAAACAAAGTCTATTCAATTTCAATATGAATATCAATAAAAAACATTATGAAGCGTCGTCGTATATTAAAGATAGAAATAAAATAAAAAACCTCAAAAGTCTAGCCGAACGTTAATATTAAGTCTAAATTTATGATTTACCTGTCACATCGAAATATCCAAACTGTGCGCCCACATGTCACAGCAGGTTGCAGCCATCTCATAACATGCACAGAGGTCAGTGCACTATCGGAGCCATCTTCAAAACGCCAATTACGAAAAAAAAACTCAAGATTCGCAAAATCACATTCGTCTAACATAGATCGATCCGGTTAATTTATGAGCGTCAAGTTCTAGGTGAAGTTCACGGCTTATGGGTCAGTCGTGCGCGGGAGTGGTGGTCGCCGGATGAAGCTCGATCTATATAAGCGCAGAGAAATGCTCTCACTGCATCCACTCATCCGAGTCCTTCGTTGAGAACAGACGTGATGGCAGCAAGATTTGTAGTCGCTGTGGCGCTTGTGGCCTTGTGCCGTGCCAACCCCGTCATTAAAAACGGTGAGTCACTAACATTACTATCGTTTTAATCGAATAAATTAATGTTTTAAAATCATAAAATATCCAAAGTATGACAGTAAAAGTCCATCGATGCCAAACTATTGTAACTTATACTGAGTATTCTTACACTAGGTGTCGTCTACCGTGACAGTCGGGGTTTAGCCATCGGCCAAGCATACAACAGCGACGGCGGAGTGAGCCAGGCCAACGCCAACGTAATCGGTGGTGTATCACAGGCCTACGGTAGCAGCAGCAACGGTGGTCACATAGCGCGTGACGGGCTCTTCTATCCCGGTCAAGCTATCGCGAAAGCGGAAACCTACGACAACGATGGAAACCTAATCAACGGTCCGTCTCAAGCTATCGCTAAAGCCCAGAACGGAGGTGCTTACTACCCAGTCCCCGCTCCCGGTACCATCATCACTTATGAGCAGAACTTCGCTGTACCCGCTGAAGTCGCCTACGAAATTCCCGCTGGGGCCGTGAAGTCCCATTCAGCTGCCCACTCGGATGGCATTTCTGACTCGTCGCTTTCCACTGCTTCCACCAACGGTGCGGGAAATGCTCAGTCTTCCGCTCAGACTCAAGGCATCAGCGGTTTTGGAACCACCTCCACCAACGCTAAAACTTATGGTAACAGCTTCGGTTCCGCCGCCTCCAACGCCAAAAATGGCTACGGCTCTGCTGTAACTTCGGCCAAAACAAATGGATTTGGTGCCGCAACCTCCAACGCTCAAACAAACGGAGTGACTGGAATCATTGCGCCTGTCGCGCCTATCAATGACCTCGAATCGACTGTCATCTCTGCCAAAACTCAAGGAATTTACACCGGATACACAAACCCCAACATTGGATCAGCTTCTTCCAACGCCAACGTTAATGGTCACGGAAGCGCTTCTTCCTATGCCAGAACTCATGACCAGAGAGGTATCCACTGGCGCTTCGGAACTCTGTACGACAATCCCGCCAGTGCAGCTTACAACAGCCATCCCGGTTATGGTGCCATCAAGTACACCGCCACTAACCCTGGCTATGGATCTGCTAACGCCAACGCCAACGTGAACGGTGCCGGCTACGGCTCAGCCAACTCTGCTGCCAACACCAATGGCTACGGTACAGCCAAGTCCTCCGCCAACTCTAACGGAGCCGGTTACGGAACTGCCAACGCCAATGCTGATGTGAACAACGCCGGCTATTACAGCTTTAGGAATACCGCCAACCCCAGCTACCCCGGCTACGGTTCCGCCATCTCTTCAGCCAACACTGGTGGCTATGGAACTGCCAAATCGTCCGCGAACACCCAAGGCTCCAGCTTCGGGGGAAGAACCGCTACCGACGCTCACACTGCAGGCTTTGGGTCTGCTAGATCCTCCGCTAAAACTCATGGTGTGAGCACCGCGTTCAAGGTGGCCGACTCTTCCGCCAACAGCTACGGTCACGGTTCCGCTAATGCTAAGGCCACAAGTGCTTAAACTGCGCTCAGTATCGAGGAGCAACCACACCAAGACGACCTTCGATCTCACCGAATACTTGTCTTGATGTATTTGCCAAGCGTGAATCAAACGCATAAATTTATTTATTTCATTAATTTATTGTGTTCAGATAATGCATTTATAAAGTTATAATTAATCTCTGTATCAATTGCCATACTTCGATGATTCTAATAAAAAATAATGTATCATTTATATGTATTTTCATTTATGGTAAGAAGGAAGGCAGCAACCAGAAAACGTGAAACTTTATGTTATAAATCAACTACAGTTTCCCTTGCATGAAGGGCTTAAGGTACTGGTGGAAGGATCTGTTGACGGGTTCCGCGTTGAGAGGACTCTTGAGCGCCTCCTCCATCAGGCGCTCGTACACGCGCCCGTCGTACGCGCCCAGAGTGGAGTTCAGGATCTAAAAAAAACATTGTACATTTTTAGTCCATTTAACTTAAACTCATTACGCTCCCACTTCCCCTAGAAATTAATACAGTATTCCCATTGAAAGGTAGCGGGCATTATTGATTGATNTGACGGGTTCCGCGTTGAGAGGACTCTTGAGCGCCTCCTCCATCAGGCGCTCGTACACGCGCCCGTCGTACGCGCCCAGAGTGGAGTTCAGGATCTAAAAAAAACATTGTACATTTTTAGTCCATTTAACTTAAACTCATTACGCTCCCACTTCCCCTAGAAATTAATACAGTATTCCCATTGAAAGGTAGCGGGCATTATTGATTGATTGATTAATTGAAAATTCTTTATTGCACAAAAATATTGTATAAATGCAGGCATTCTCTTCCAATTAAACCTTGTTGATGAAGTGAAAGACTCAAGAAGCGTAGCTGTGAAAAAGTTACATGGCGATAATTTAAAGAATTATAGTCTTATTAAAGTTCTTCTTCTTGTCCTTATCTCACTATGAGGGATGCTGCATGCCCTCTTTTTCCAGTCAGGCCTCTTAAACGCCATCTCTGCATTCACACCCTTCTCTCGCACATCCTCTTTCACACAGCCCATCCAATTCTTTTTAGGACAGCCCCTCCCACTGGAGGGTAGGAGACATATTGCTTGAGATTACCGTTGTCTTTGACTATGCGGTTAGTTTGGTAGCCATTTGCAATTCCCTATTAAGTCTTACCTCGTCTCTAAAATCGAAGCCATCTACCAAGCCGACAGCGTTGGGACGTATCTTCAGCAAAAGTGATTCATAATTTTGCCTCAACTGCTGAACATCGCTCTCCGACATCGATGTGTACTGTGATGAATTAAACAATACTCTGGTGAATTTAACTTTAATTAAGGTTTAGCTGCTGTTAAGTTGGTGATTAAGGCCATAGACTTAATCACTGACTATTTTATCTTGACCCATATTGATACTTCAGCTCTATGTCTCTATTGTACACTAATTAAGCAAATTCCAACTGTTGCTGGTTTGAATTTTATCACTCGACGTTATTCCTTCATCGTCGAAGTCATTCGTGAAGAATTGTTAAGTATCTACATATTTAATTGAATATTATCGATGGTTGAAAGCCTTGTTTTATTGGGTTTAAGCGATATTTTGAAACTTTACAGGAGAGCCATTTAAAGCTTCATATTTGGAAAAAAATGACAAAAAAATCTTCTTCGTCTATTTTAATGGACTTAACATATTCCAATTTCAATTAGATACATCGAATTGTTGATACTAATACCAAATACGAACGAACCTTTAAATTTTTATATTTATTTACTTTATTGCTTAGATGGGTAGACGAGCTCACAGCCCACCTGGTGTTAAGTGGTTACTGGAGCCCATAAACATCTACAACGTAAATACCGCCCCGCTACCCACCTTGAGATATAAGTTCTAAGGTCTCAGTATAGTTACAACGGCTGCCCCGCCCTTCAAACCGAAACGCATTACTCGGCAGAAATAGGCAGGGCGGAGGTACCTACCCGCGCGGACTCACAAGAGGTCCTCCTACCACCTATACGGGCTCACCAAATCCGATAAACAAAATGACAAATTACGCAGTTTTTAATAACGTGAGACGGAGCTAGGACTCGATGCTTAAAATCACCAGTCAACAATTAGATAGAAACAATCTCTAAGCTCTTATCCAAGTGAATATTAATTTAACTGCTGATGATGATGCTGAAATTACATTTGATACACAAGGTAGGTAATTTAGAATACTCTTAGTGGCATAATATTAGAAACTGCCCGTAAAAATTATTGTACTCTTTTTGTTTAAGTTTATTGAGTATATGAGCAAACGGGCTGACACCCCTATATGTATTAATTGGTTACCGGAGCCCATAGATAAAAATTACGCCTCCGGCGTTAAGACCATCACCCGCCTTGAAATATGAGATCGAAGTATCAATTGTACTGTATCTAGTCTGTCATTAATCGACAGTCACCTCCTGATTAAGACCTTGGAAAAGTTGTAGCGGGTAGCCAGCATAGAACTCAAGATATTGACAGATGCTTGAATTTCGCTAACGATATTTTCAAGATAAGCTTGTATATATGCATATACAAGTTCCGAACAACATTTGGGCCGTCGGTCTACCGAGCGATATCACCCGCTTTCCCGATTTCCCGATTCTTTGTCGTTATTTCCAAAAGGACATAAAGCCTTAAGCTATAAAAACAACGATTGGTGTCAGAAATGACATGACGGCACTAGTCTTATTCGGCTACAGTCTTTATTCGACTATTTATTTATTTTTATTTATTTATTTTCACGAACAAGCTCGTGTCTTGAGCCGGACCACACCAATGCTTGTTTGCTCGTGATCTATCAACAATAAATACTCTGTAATTAAAGTCAACAACAACTTAACATAGGTCATAAGCACGTCCTTACGGATCCATCTGATCCAATAACCTTTGCATTAGACGCCTTCAGCTCTAACACTAGGAGCAGGCTTAGGGACCCCGGTAACCGTACTCGTCGAACTCGACAAAGAGTTCGACGTGCAACCTAACCCATGCATCAGCTCGCTGAGTTTCTCGCCGGATCTTCTCAGCGGGTCGCGATTCCGATCCTGTAGTAGATTCATTCGCTGCTCCAGCTGCTCTCGAGTTGTTAGGTCTTATTCGGAGGCGTTCGGGCAGCTGTTAGCAAATCCCACCCCTCCTGGCTGAGCCTTTGCTCGCCCACCTGTCCTGGTGAAACTGGAAAGGCCTCCGAGCCACCAGTAATTCTTCTAACACAAATAAAAGTTCATACGCGGGACGTTTCAAGAAATTTAAACATTAATTAATAGTCACAGCGAAGCGTGACGTCAGTAATATAAAAAACTATTTCCCCCCGAAATCTTCGAAATTCGACGCCCGTTCAAAATTACGAATTTCGAACTCGAGTTTGGCGTTCAAAAAAATCTATCATAACCTTTGCCTACAAAACACGAATTCAAATATGATGATAATAATAATGAGATAACCTCATTTTTTACTGATCTAAATAGCGGTTCGTGGCTCATGTTTATTTTAAACGTCAAAACCAGTTATAGCTTACTAGTCGTAGATCAATATCCGTCATTAGAAGTTTTTAAATGATCCATTAGTTTTTGTTGCGAATCATAGAATGTTGAACTCTGTACATAACAGTACCGAGTGACCTTTAAGGTCATTTGTAGTATATATTATCTATGGTCACTTGTGTACTGAACTGACTAATTTATGTGGGAGTGTCTCTATTATTTTTTTTAGTAAAATATTCGAACGCAGTCACCTTTTTTAAACCATTTTTTTTTTTCGACAAAACAACGACCACAGGATTTTTGTGAGCGAAGCAATAAAAATAGATTTTTGAATTTTTAAACAGACATTTAAAATACAAAATTGTCTCAAAAGTCAATTTCAACCATTAAATTTGTGAATATTTATATCTAACAGTTCGTTGTAATAATATACGATAATGTATATTACCAAAGTAGCGATACGAAAGTTATGTCATGGTTGGTAAAATGTATCGATATTTGTTAATGTTATTAATTCAGTAGCAAATCTAGTTCTTTTTAAATTTTATTTATTTATTTAAATGCGTATTTTAGAGTGAATACTTTACAATTTTTTTTAAATTATTTTTATTGTGTTAATTGTATATACATATAAACTGGTTACTGGAGCTCATAAACATCACAACGTGAACAACACCACCCACCTTGAGACATGAGGTTGTCGTTTAACGGCTATAATCAATAGAAATAACAATATCTGTACAATAATCAGATAGGATCTTAAAAATAAATAGAGATAGGTATATTTTAGTTATAAAGAATCACAAGGAATGAAAATCTCACGAGAACTGTAAAATAACTTTAATGAGCGAATATTTTGATAATTCGCTTAAAGGTTTCCGCGTGAAATGCACTAACTACGTCAGCTGAACGTCGAGGTAGGAGACACGACGAAAGACACAAAAAAAGTGCTGCCTAAGTAACAATAGTATCTGTGTGCTTAGGGGATTTTTTGAACGTTCTCGATAACGTAAAAGTTAACTAATTTTTGTAGGCCGTTGGAACAACGCCCCTAGCGGCAAACATAGACAAACTTTCCAACTCCATACAAATTTGAGTTAACTTTTACGCTATCGCGAACGTTAATAAACTTACACTAAGCACACTGTTTCGCTTGACGACAGATAAATACGTGTTTATTGACGACCAACGAAAACCAGATCTGCTCTCGATCTAACACAATCACTCCGAACGTAATTTATGGAATGTATTTAATTTTGTCATCAGAAGTTTCCTAATGAAATCTGTGTGTGAATTTTTTGCATGAATATTTAATGAAAACGTCCACGGTAAGACCGCGGTCATATCGCACGATTCTTTTTAATGTATTTATTGTATGAACGTGGCTTTAGTAAATAAATAAGGAAATTCTGTGTTTCAATTCAGTCGAAACTTTGTATAGACAAGCTAACGCGTCCACGTTACCTTGTCTATAAATATGTCAATATCATTAGGCTCTTCTTAATTTAGTAATTTAAATATAAATATGTAAAAATGTTTATGTTTGGATATTTGTTACTCAATCGTTTGCTCGTTAAAAACATTGGCTGAATGAATTTTTAGCTAAATATCTGACATAGATTATCACAATACAGGATTCTATCATATCTATTTTATCGTTATATAATCTGGGCTACGAATACCTAGGGGGCGCGCGGGGTATATGAGACCAGTCCGCGACTACGAACGGTGGGCCCAAGGATATTTTTAGGACCCTACCGCACTTAAATACTCCCCTGCACTTTTACACCCGACGTCCGAATTCCGCTCGGGATCAGAAACCGACCAGAGTAAGGAAGCTCTCGCGGTCAATACTACCAGCAGACTCGTGGCGCCGCCCCGGGGATCCGCGGCCGACTGGTCGTCGAAGCAATAGACGAAGACCAACGACGCTGGTCTCCTCTGTACGGCGGCCCTACCATACCACCCGGGATACCCCGCTGGGTCAGAACCAGCCCGTCGGATCGGAACGCGATACACCGCCGACCGGATTGCTCTTCCAAATTATATTCGTCCCATCCTCCTGGTACCAGCACCCTATAGCGACGGTAACGTGCGGAACAGCCTCGACCCCCTCAGGTCGCTTCGTTACCATCAACGGGAGGAGACTGTCTCCTCACAGAGGCTGGAGCTGAACGAACGCCCTCCTGCGACTTCCGCCTCGTCGGCAGCGGCCGAACTCCATACAAATTTGAGTTAACTTTTACGCGATCGAGAAGTTAAAAAACTCGCACTAAACACACTGGCATATAACCAATATGAACGCCCGCTTACGAATCGTAGGCACTTAAATGGAAAGGCGTTCAACACAAAACAGCCAACAGTCAATTAACTATGCAGACGAGTTTTCGAACAAAATGAAAGACATTATAATAAAATTTGATACAATTTTCGAAAACTATAAATTCGAATCTTAGAGAACCATCTTATTTTATTTATTACTAATGATTTATAGTTAATCCTGTAGAGAAACATGATTCGAACAGATTAAAAAAAACCTTTATTACGGACTGTTGTATTTATTTTTAAAAGGACCCGGTTCGTGTACAATATCTGATCGTTTTTTTGTTCAAATTCACATTTGTTTTTTTTATTTTTATTGCTTAGATGGGTGGATGAACTCATGCCCCACGGCCCACCTGGTGTTGAATGGTTACCGGAGCCCACAGACATCTACAACGTAAACGCCGCCACCCACCTTGAGACATGAGTTTTAAGGTCTCACTTGTAACAATGGCTGCCCCGCCCCTCAAACTGAAACGCATTACTGCTTCATGGCAGAAATAGGCAGGATGATGGTACCTACCCGTGCGGACTCACAAGACGTCTTACCACCAGTAATTACGCAAATTATAATTTTGCGGGTTTGATTTTTATTACACGATGTTGTTCCTTCACCGTGGAAGTCAATCGTGAACATTTGTCAAGCGTACTTGGCAATGGCGTACCATTCATTAGAAAAATCGGTACCCGCCTGCGGGATCCGAACACCGTTGCATCGCTAGATACGAATGCACCGGAGGTCTTATCCCTTAGTCCACGACGACATCGAGTTCGACAAAATAAATAATTTTAATTAAATTGGCAGAATCGTTTCAAAGCTCATAACTAAGTATAAAATGGTGGTAGGACCTTTTGTGAGTCCGCGTGAGTAGGTACCACCGCCATGCCTATTTCTGCCGTGAAGTAATAATGCGTTTCGGTTTGAAGGGTAGAGCAGCCGTTGTAACTATACTGAGACCTTAGAACTTGTATCTCAAGGTGGGTGGCGCATTTACGTTGTGGATGTCTATGGGCTCCAGTAACCACTTAACACCAGGTGGGCTGTGAGTTCGTCCACCCATCTAAGCAATAAAAAATAAATAAAAAAAATCAACCACCGGATCGGAAACGCAACCCACTGAGAAGATCCGGCGAGAAACTCAGTGGGCGGTGTCTATGGGTAACATACTCCGAGAACCAATGAACACCAGAATCGTCAGCTCACAAGTTTGCCAAGCGCAAAAATACATCGCAAATCGAATTTTAATGATAATACGTTATTTTTTTACCTTCGTCCAATCACGAACGATGCAATCTATGATCGCAAGCAACGGTGCATCGAAATTACGTATCAAATTATGTGTATTGTGATCAATGCTTTAGATAAGATTGTAACAGTTACGAACTCACAATAGCGGTTATTATTCATACGGTACTTGTTTTTAATCGTTCGATTGAAATAAAATGATTTTGTGGGCAGAGTACCTATTCTCTGATAAAAACTATTAGGTACGTAGTTAAAATAAAGCCGAATCTTCTCAGTGGGTCGCTATTCCGATCCGGTAGTAGATTCTTTCGCGAAGCAGCTGCTTTTGAGTTGTTAGGTCTCCTTCGGAGGCGCTCGGGGTGCTGTTAGCAAATCCCACCCCTCCTGACTGAGTCTTTGCTTGCCCATCTGTTCTGGTGAAAGCGGTGAAAGCGACGAATGATTTCGTCTTAATAATACAGTACAGGCATTAACATGCAAATTGTTTGTCTCATGAAACCCTAGGATACGATACAGACGGTTTTACGTTTTCTGGTATCGAACATTAATATTAAAAAAAAAAAACAAAATAAAATATAGCCCCTGCTTGAAATAATCTTGAAACATTTACTGTACTTAGTTGTTTTTTTAAATCATTAATTGATTTTCAAAGTGTTAACTTCATCAGTGGCATAAAGGAAGCGAAGCCGTTGCCTCGAAAATATTTTTAACCTATGACATGGTACGGTACTCCTTCTTCTATCGCTTTTTGGCGGGAACGCGAGGAGTGAAGTTGTGTGATTTGTTTTATTTTGTCTATTTAGTGTTTCTTCAGGTTTAAATGTGTAATAATGGTGGTTTATTAACTGTTTAATATCTGTGAAAGTGCACAAATGTGGGAAAATGAAACAAAGCTGCTGGACATAACTTCTCGGGTTCCTCCAAAAAGTCCACTGAAAAAATCTCAGTAAATGACCACCATTTTACTGCGATTATATTTCATCCCATATCATTTCATTTCATTAAATTTCATCCCAGTTGATTAATGTCTCAAATTAATCATCTTCATTTCATTTCACTCCATATTATCATTTTTCATAAAATTAAGAATATAAAGTAAAATAAGACATGACTTAAAGGTCTTAGTTACCAGGTCTTAAAATCTCTAAAAAAAAAATCCTTCTTCTATCAATGTCACCCGTTCATTTATTAATTTCAATTTTTCCTACGAACTAAGTACAATATCTCTGAAAACATGTTGGATTGTCATACACGGCATTGATTAATATGTCTTTAAAGTATTCAAATCATGATTACCTTCATCCTTTGAGTTGAGTATGTACCGTACTTAGTTAATCATAACAAAACTGATTTTTTTTGTTAGGGGATTTTATGATCTGGTAACTAAGACTTTTAGGTCATCTTTTATTTTAATTTATATTCTTATTTTAATGAAAAATTATAATATGGAGTGAAATGAAGATGATTAATTTGAGACATTAATCAACTGCGATAAAATTAAATGAAATGAGTTGAGATGAAATATAATCTCAGTAAAATGATGGTCATTTACTGAGATTTTTTCAGCGTCCAGCGGTCCAGACGTCCAGCGGTTTTGTTTCATTTTCCCACATTTGTGCACTTTCACAGATAATAAACAGTTTAATAAAACACCGTTATTACACATTTAAACCTGAAGAAACACTAAATAGAAAAATAAAACAAATCGCACAACTTCACTCCTCGCGTTCCCGCCAAAAAAGTCCCTAACAAAACTGACTATTGAGCCGTACACAGAGTATATAAAATTTAGGTTCTAAAGTTTAAGTTTCTGTAAAGCCAATGATAGTGTTTAAGGACAAACGAATGTCAACGATATTTGTATATTTTTTTTAAATGTGATTTTTTTCATTAAAAAATTGGCGTTCCTCGAAATGATTTTTTAATAAAAAAATTAAAACATGAACAATGCCCACGTGGCAATGGCGGTTTAATTTAAAGAGCCCACTGGCGGCAATGTGAATTCACCACGGCGTCAGTCAATCTTATCCTAATCTTACCAACAGCAAATCTCCGAGTTTCTGCAAACTCCAATACGTGGCGTACAGCTCGACAAGCTGGTACATAGCCCTCTTCAGGGGGGCTGAGAGGTGTTGCGCTTTCCGGTCAACTTCAGCTTTGTAAGTCGACAGAATGAGGGCTCGACAGTGAGCCTGCAATGTGTATGAAGTAGGCTTAGTTAATGACTTGGACGTCACATCCAAGCCGCTACCTCCAAGCTACCCGATTTGCATTTTTGTATTCAATAATTTGGTACGCAGCGTCTTGGCTGTGTCAGTGTTGATCAATGAGCAATGTAACCTGAAACCTGTGAGCTTAAGGCATGTTTTTAACGTTCTCGATAGCGTAAAAGTTAACTCAAATTTGTGTGCGGTTGGAACAGCGCCCCTAGCGGCACACGTAGGAAAACCTTCCAGCTCCATACAAAATTGAGTTAACTTTTACGCTATCGAGCACGTTAAAAAACTCGCACTAAGCGCACTGGTATGGGTGACCGAGACGTGAAGTCGAAGTCAATAAAATTGGATTATACTTTTATTCGCAAAAATGAGAAAAATAATAGAGCAAAATTTTATATTTGCCGATTCATTCAGTGAACTCGTTCACTCATTTATAGTAATGATACATTTAATCATTGATAAACCCCTACAGACACAGTTCACTGAGTTTCTCGCCGGATTTTCTCAGTGGGTCGCGATTCCGATCCGGTGGTAGATTCAGCGAAGCACTGCCCTTGCTAGGGCTTGTGTTAGCAAATTTTCTCAGGTTGAGCCCGTGAGCTCACCTACCCCTCCAGGCGTAGCTGGAACAGCCCCTTAGGCTATCAGAGAATAAATAAGGAAAAATTATAAACAAACTTCACGGATCTTCCAGCACAGGGCTGTCGAAAAACCGTTACGTGCCAAACAAAAATGCGGCATGAACTGACCGGTCGCTAAAATCTTATTAGTATTAATCTATTTAGTGAATTAAAATTTCTATTTATTACGATAATGTTTAGTAGTTTCTGAAATAAGCGCGCCGGACAGCCCTGCCTTAGTCCGAACTCCGAACCGATCGCATCGTACATACCTCCGATACGGCAACAAGCTGAACCGATGTCATGTTCCAGGATTCTTCGGGCGACAGACCAGACTTTAAATATTTGTTTCTAGTTGAAACCGCTGCCGATAATTTGCTGTGAACATTTTATGTTCGGTCTATAACGTGAGGCGATTCTAATAATTCTATTTCTGTAATAAGGCGGGCTTTAAACGGCTATTGTTTTAAACAGGATCCCTGTTTCGTGGTTAAGTAAACACTAAGTATTTTCTAGAAGCTGTAGCCACCAGCTTGGCTCTACCCCTGGCATTGCTGACGTCTACAAGCGACGTCGATCACCCGCCATCAACTCAGAGTTAAGCTCGTCAACTTGTAAGGCAATAAAAATGCTCTGTATTATACCAATTTATTTTTGATTATTTATTTAAACATTTTTATTGACATGCGCGCCATCTGTCGCATATTAGTGGTACTGTGACAGAAACTTTGACTAAAGTGCTGACAACGATTCCTTCAAGTATCATTACCATCTGATGAATGGTTTAGGATCCCAGGAGTTTAAACAAAAAAAAAATCTTCAACGATATCAATAATAATATTGAAATAATAATAAAAACATGAAATTTTCTGTACGTATACACGAGTATGGGAAGATTTTAGTCTCCAAAATAAAAGTTTGGTCTATGTAAGTAATTTATACAAAAATATCACTTTTATATAAAATAAATCATTTGAATATTCCTTTTATGACGTTTTTTAATTATAAGAAACTATGTAACTAAAATAAATTACCATGCCGCTACTCTCTCGAATCCTTTTATAATCCCTTCAACAGAGTTCTCCCACTTCCCAAAAGGGCGCGTGTCTGCTATGTAGGACACTGTAGAACTCAACTTTTCTCCCCTAGCGTTTTGCTCCCAGGCTTTTACCAATGATCTGTTTAATAAAATATTTTTTAAATTCAATCACGCTTATGTCAGCTGTTATCAATGAGGATGAGTATTGATTTTAGCGCCATCTATTGACATGTGTCTAAGAATATTTACTCTTTTTATATATTTACAGATATGTAATAGGTTGGGAAAAAATTTTTCCTGACCTTGCACCTTCAGATTTTCACCTGTTTCGGTCTCTTCAAAATTCTTTAGGCAGTGTCAGGTTAACATCACGAGCGGACTGCCAAAACCAATTATCGCGGTATTTTGATCAGAAGCTCCAAAATTTCTATAGTAATGGGATCATGTCCCTACCTACAAGATGGCAAAAAGCGAAGAAGAAAATGCGAAGAAACTTTTCCCCCAACCTATTATGTAGCGGTAGTATTAAATTTTTGTTTTCAAATGAATACATAGTTTCTTTTTTATGTACCTATAAACTTTAATCCTGAATAGTGTTTGTTACATAGGAGGCGCTTGCTGAAACACAACTTAGTTTATTGAACATGAAAAATAATATTATTGTATAATAATAGGGTGTCCCTATTAGTGACTAAAATGGCGTTACTACTTATTTTGTATGATTAGCTAAGCATAAACGTATTTAAATTCCTAGCCGATATTCTGTCAGTAACGTGTTAGAGCTTAATAGCTTTTTTAATTTCTTTACCTCGCAGTTTGCAGCAGGAGCACCGTATTTTCTCCTTCATAAATACACGCAGCGGCTATTAGGCCGTATATTTGAGGTAGATTCGAGGACAGAATGTACCCGTGTCCCCCACAGGCGCGGCTGCACGTGATCACCATGTCGCTCGCGTCCGCTGAACTTACCGCTTTGAGGCAACAAGCTAAAGCGTGCAGCTATGAAACAAATGAGAGGTCAATTTTTAACTTTTTTTCTTTATTTATTTATGTACACACAGAAAAGATGAAATAGTACAGAGTAATAGGAAAATTATGTACAAAGGCGCTGCTTATTTCTTTAAGAAATCTCTTCCAGCAGACCTGCGAGAGGATTATGAGAATAATAATTAAAAGTGATGAGTGTGTGTAGAACAAATTTATTTCTTACCTATGCTGATAGCTGGGGCTATTTCAGCTTCTCCTTGACGTGTAGGTGAGCTTACGGGGCTCAAACCGGAAGGTTGCTAACACTGGCCCTAACAAGAGCAGTGCTTCGCAGAATCTACCACCGGATCGGAAACGCGACCCACTGAGAAGATCCGGCGAAAAACTCAGTGGGCTGTGTCTATGGGTTAATTTACTCGTCGAGCCCTTCGTCGCAAGTTACGGACGGTGACCGGTTTTTTACTGGTTTAACGTGAATGTTTGTCGAATACTTCTTTAAATGGCGGGATACATTAACGTTTACGTTGGGAGGATATATGGGCGATCTGTGACCATTAATTACGTCGTGTCGCACTATCGTGTAGCAGTTTTGCATTTCGGTTTGAAGGGTGAGGCAGCCGTTGTATTGTAGAACTAAGAGTAAGACGTCGTATCTCAAGGAGGGTGGCGGCGTTTGCGTTGCTGATGTCGATGGGCTCCGGTACTACTTTACCGGTACCACCAAATCAGGTTGGTCGTGACCTTGTCCATTTTATTTTATTTTATTTTTATTGCTCTTGTAGGCAAACGAGCATACGGCCCACCTGATGGTGAGTGGTTAGCGTCGCCCATGGACTTCAGCAATGCCAGGTGCAGAGCCAAGGCGCTGCCTGCCGCTTAATACTCTCCACAAGCCTCGTTTGAAGAAGGACATGTCATAGCGCTCGGGAAACACCGTGGAGGGGAGCTCATTCCATAGCCGGATGGTACGTGGCAAAAAAGACCTCTGGAAACGCACTGTGGATGACCGCAGTGGCTCCAGGTAGTATGGATGAACTCTACTCCGGTGGCGGGCGGTGCGATGGTAAAAACGAGATGCNCTCTCCACAAGCCTCGTTTGAAGAAGGACATGTCATAGCGCTCGGGAAACACCGTGGAGGGGAGCTCATTCCATAGCCGGATGGTACGTGGCAAAAAAGACCTCTGGAAACGCACTGTGGATGACCGCAGTGGCTCCAGGTAGTATGGATGAACTCTACTCCGGTGGCGGGCGGTGCGATGGTAAAAACGAGATGCCGGTTTCATCTCGAACTATTCCTCAGAGCACTCCCCATGGAACATACGGTACAAAATACAGAGGGAACCGAAGTCCCTCCGCAGACCCAGAGGTTCCAAACGGTCCGTGAGAATGGGATTATCAACAATCCGAACGGCCCTCATCTGTATGGAGTCAAATGGAAAAAGCTGATATCTACCCATCTAAGCAACAAAAAAAGCGATTTGGCGGTACACCCTTGGTGACTGACATTGCTGAAGTGCGTGGACAATGGTAACCGCTCAACATCAATGGAGATTGGTGATGATGATGATTCTTTAATTGTATCTTTATTGCACACTCAACAGATTATTTCTTACCTCGGGCAGACCGTCGCTTTTCCCAGCCTCCATGTCCTTCGTAACTTTCTCGTACTTATCCCACAGCCATGCCGCTGTGATCCTGATAGCGTGACTCGACGCTATGGCCACAAACAGTTTGTGCTGCTGCGTCAAGAAGTCCATAACCTGTACCTCTGGTTGGCTAAGAAATAGAGCATACGAGTTATGGATAACGTGACCATTTTTTTTCGTGTCAAATCGGGACGCCTACGGAATTTTGTATATAAATAAATACATATATAGGGTACGTTGGGGTAAGATGTAATATTTAAGTGCAAAATAAAAAATATGGTTTAAAAAATGACTTGAAATAACTTATTACGTTATGACATCTTAATTCTTACACCAACATACCCTTAAAATTACTTTTTACAAATTACTTTTCTACAGCCGATCCACTAACAATGCTTTTAGGTACCCCAAGCACCGGCCATCGTTCTCGTCGAACCCGTCGCTTCTGACGAAGGGCTCGACGAGTAAACTAACCCATAGACACAGCCCACTGAGTTTATCGCCGGATCTTCTCAGTGGGTCGCGTTTCCGATCCGGTGGTAGATTCTGCGAATCACGGCTCTTGCTAGGATTCGTGTTAGCAACATCGTCAGGTTTGAGCCACGTGAGCTCACCTACTAGCCCGGTGATGCTGACATGGTCTTTCTAGACCATCAGCTTAGGTAGGGGAAAAAAAAACGCTTTGTGGGGGAGCAAGGGGGTAATTTTTTTTTTGTTATAATTGATACATATCTGGAAAATATTACGTTATAAAGGTATTGTGCCCCGGACGTGGGGCCACAAGTTCGTCTGCCATAGATAACAATAAAAAGGCGTTAATCAAGAATAGGCATTCACTGTCATTAACATTTTTTTTTTACTCTGTGAAATAAACAACATGTCGCTGAACCGTTTTATATATTATATATGTTTTCGTTGATTATTATCGTTGATTCGTGTTTATGGTTTAACTATTTTATGAGATAAAATGATCGAAATTAGGCCATATTGACTGATACGTCAAGATTACGATTCATTTTATGTCGTACCTAATTCTTTTATTTTATTTTGACATTTTGAAGAAAAAAACGAATTACTAACTTTTCTTTTTGTTACACTAAGCCTGTCGGCTACTAAAAAGAAGAAAAAATAGTACATAACTGTTTTTTTTTATGCTTGATAGATCACTGGTGGCCCAGAGGCCTTTCCAGTTTCACCAGGACAGGTGGACGAGCAAAGGTTCAGCCAGAGCAATGGCTCAGCCAGGGCTGTTTTGTATTAGTATGTATTGTAGATTTTAAAAATCCGACAATAAAATTTATGTAACCACCCATTAATGACATTTCATTTTGTTATTATAATAAATTACAACGCAAAAAGGAACCTTACTCTGTATTGATTTGCGACTGTTTCCTGACGGCGCTGTATCGAACGGCAATAGTGACGGATCTTGCCAAGTGGTTGGCCATGCTGTTTACTATCATAACTCTGACATACACCATCGTTCCATACGTAAGCTTACTATCCGTCTTTCGTGTGAACACACCATCCTAGAACAACAAACAACTCTTTATACATTGGTATTAAGACCGCTTAGTACAAAGTATTTTTTATTGGTGGTGATAAGTGGTTTCTGGAGCCCATAGACATCTATAACGTAAAAGCGCCACCCACCTTGACATATAAGTTCTAAGGTCTTAGTACAGTTACAGCGGCTGCCCCACCCTTCAAACCGAAACGCATTACTGCTTCACGGCAGAATTAGGCAGGGTACCTATCGGTGCAGACTCACAAGAGGTCTTACAAAGCATTGCCTTGAAGCAGTATTTGTTTCGGTTTGAAGGGTGGGGCAGCCGTTGTACTGTGAAACTGAAACTTAGTACTCATCTCTGAAAGTGAACGGCGGCATTGAGGACGTTGGTGTCTATAGGCTCCAGTAAGCATTTACCATCAGATAGGCAGGCCGTGAACGGCTTCAAGCATTTACCATCAGGTAGGTCGTGACCTTATTCACACATCTAAGTAATAACAAAAAAAAAAAGCATACAGTGTAGGTGCTATTAATGTAAATTATTCATGGCTGTCAGAAAATTCACAAGCTTCATTATCTATACTCATATATTATTAATACGTGAAATAAAAACTTTGTTATTATTTTAAAAAAAATAGCGCGAACGGATGAGTACGTACTTTCCCACGCTTATAGAAAATATAGAGAACGAGTGCAGAATGCTATTGTTTCTTTTAAATTATGCACAAAAAATTCATTAAATAATTTAAACATTAATTGTTTAAAAGAAAAAACTAAAAAAATACGCTTTTATAGAAAATCCAACTCAAAAATAGAAAATAAATTTTAATAATAAATACGAATTGAACATAGTGTAATAAACAATGATTTTATTGTAAAAAAAAGCGTGGCGTACCACCAGTAAACGAGAGGTCCTACCACCAGTAAAGTGTTTGTTGCAAGTCAAGTAGTTCACAGACTACGGTAGCTTCACATGCAAATATTATTAAGCTGAAATCAGCTAAGGACTTTTCTCAAGATAAAACATGAAATATCACAACGCTAGAATAGCAAGAGGGAAAAGTCATTCTTCGTTCCAACAACTGTAACTTTAATCAGTATAGCTTACTTTAGAAACTTGAGCATTCTTCATCAGCATCCTATCACGCGGTATTCTGTGCTGATCGAAACCAAGGAAGCCATTGTTGACGGTGTTGAAGCCTAATTTAGCACCGATCTCGCCCAACTTGATCCCGCTTAGAGGCATGTGAGTATTTTCATCTCTCAACTGCACCATGAATGGTTGGATGCCGTAGTTTTTCCCTTTTATGTTCAGTTGGGCCATTACTACACAGTAATTAGCTGTGTGTGCCACTGAAATCATTAAAATGCCCTGTTTACCGCAGATAATGGTTCCAAAAGGTTATCCAATCGAAGACGTATGTATCTATCCTATATATTTCAATTGGTAAACACAAGTTTGGGTCTCTTTGTTTGTCAAGCAATTTTGTTTCATTGCTGTCACGTTTTTTTAAACATATTTTTCCACAATCGAATTTGAATACATCAAACGAAGGTTGTGAAGAGTACTTAAGGCAGCGGCTTGGCTTTCTCCCTGGCATTGCTGACGTCCATGGGCGACGGTAACCACTCACCATCAGGTGCGCCGTATGCTCGTCTGCCTACAAGAAAAATAAATAAAAAACCAGAAAACCACGAATTAAAAGGGAAAATGTATAGAGATAATCTAAATCCGGAAGTGTCATATTAAGAACCAGCCGTCAGCTCTGATGAAGTGAGACACGTTGCCCATCACGCTTCTATGGTTCAGGCTTTATCAGCCAATGCTGGATCCTATTGAAAAGACCATTCTTGATTACAGTACATGGCATTGATGACAGGTCTTTTCCAGAAACTCCTCACCTCGATATAACGGTTTGATATACTGATAGCTTTTAAAACAAATATGGTTCATTCATCCATTGAAGATTACCTGATCAGACCATCACTTTCGCTTCGATTTTGCTTTTAGATTAATAAAGACCTTAGCTAGAGCTCAACTTTTTTTTTATTGCCCTTGTAGGCAGACGAAGCATACGGCCCACCTGATGATGAGTGGTTACCGTCGCCCATGGACTTCACCAATGCCAGGGGCAGAGCCAAGCCGCTGCCTACCGCAAAAAAACTACATAAATTACGTATGAACGACCAGCTTACGTACTTAATGATAGAACTTACAACTTCCGGGCCACCATTTGTACGCTGTTAGCGTGGGACTGTGTAGCACGAACTCCTCAGTTTCGACGTCATATGTTGCAGTCGTCTCCAGACCTCGGATGAACGTACCGTGACCCAGTTCTGTCTGGAATTGTTCAAGCAACTCTACAAGGCCTCGCGATTTGCGGTTGCACCAACATCTTTATTATCAGCCTATAGTTAATATCACGACCCTCAGAACTGAGGAATACGACGCACGGAGGAGGATAGTTAATATTACTTATTTTTATTCAGATTTTTTTAATTTTATTTTTTTATTGCTTAGATGGGTGGACGATATTGGACGAGCTTACAAGCCCACCTGGTGTTAAGTGGTTACGGGAGCCCATATACATCCACAACGCAAATGCGCCACCCACCTTAAGATATAAGTTCTAAGGTCTCAAGTATAGTTACAACGGCCGCCCCACCCTTCAAATCGAAACGCATTACTGCTTCAAAGCAGAAATAGGCAGGGTGGTGGTACCTACCCGCGCGGACTGACAAGAAGTCCTACCACCAGTAATTACGCAAGTTATAATTTTGCAGGTTTCATTTTTATTACACGATGTTATTCCTTCACCGTGGAAGTCAATCGTGAACATTTGTTGAGTACGTATTTCATTAGAAAAATTGGTACCCGCCTGAGATTCGAACACCGGTGCATCGCTCAATACGAATGCATCGGACGTCTTATCCGTTAGGCCACGACGACTTCTAATAGTTTAATAGTTTATTATTCACTATTCGAAGGGTGAAAGGCCATTTGGTTAAAGCGACACTTCGCTTAATACGCGACATCTTTGTATTCAAAGGTCCTTTTCATTTGGTATTGGCATCAACAATTCGATGTTTTTATTTAAACTACAATTTTTAATTTATCGATGTAAAATGTAAATGGAAGGATTTGATTCGAGCCCTACATCCTAGCAGAGGGTAATAGGAAAGAATGGGGAAATTTAAAAAAAAAAGACATGCCCGCTAAGTTTCTTGCCAATTCTTCTCAGGACGGAGGCTAGTTTTTGTGAATTGGCGGTAGTTCTTTTGACGTTCAACAAGTATGTACTTTCATTTATGTTGAATAATTTTTTTTTATTTGATTTGATTTGATTTGAATGATGAATGATGATGTTTACGCCATTCAAATAGCTGAAGAAGTTATTTCTTATGGTATTTTTTCCTAATTTTATCTTTTAAATATCGGTTAAGCCAAATAAACTTTCACCCCTCGATATGACAAACAATTAAACAACATAACACACATAACAAACCAGTGAATAACAAACAAACGATTACAAACATATTAATAAAATTTGGAGTAAAATACGATGTAATCGCATCGTTAATTATTACTTGTAACAGCTAAAATGTTTTTTTTGTATGATTGAAGGATTACTGGTGGCCCGGAGGCCTTTCCTGTTTCACCAGGACAGGTCGGCGAGCAAAGGCTCAGCCAGGAGGGTGAGATTTGCTAACAGCTACCCGAGCGCCTCCGAAGGAGACCTAACAGCTCAAGAGCAGCTGCTTCGCGAATGAATCTACTACCGGATCGGAATCGCGACCCGCTGAGAAGATCCGGCGAGAAACTCAGCGGGCTGATTCTTGGGTTAGGTTGCACGGCGAACTCTTTGTCGAATTCGACGAGTACGGTTACCGGGGTCCCTAAGTCTGCTCCTAGTGTTAGAGCTGAAGGCGTCTAATGCAAAGGTTATTGGATCTGATGGATCCGTAAGGACGTGTCTAGGGCGTCGATGGTCATTGGCTCCTGCGTGATCAGGATTCGGGGAAGCTAAAATGTTCAGAAACTTTAATATACATGGAAAGTGGGAGGAGCTCACTTAATTTCGATTCAATTATTAATGTAAGTGAACATTTTTGTGATGATATTAAAAAAAGAGACCAATTAACACTGGATTATTTAATTGAAATTCTAATTTAGCTATACGATATCAAGAAACATCAAAATTCAATTCAATTTTCAAGTGGCTTTGAATAAGCTTAAGGTAAAATGCAGATAATAAGATATAACCTACAAACACAATTTGTTTTTTTTTTTCTTTGACGATTGATAGAGCTCACGGCCCTCGTGGTGTCAAGGAGTTACCGGAGCCCATAGACCTCAACAACGTAAAGGTCGTCACCCACCTTGAGACAACAATTCTAAATCTCTGTTCTATATAATACTATGGCTTCTCCGTCCTTTAAGCCGTATCGCATAGCATACAAAACGGCCTACTATCAGTAAAAAAATTTATATTTTTAATTATTGTGCCAAAGCTTCCCTAACCTTCCGTCATACAGAAATACCTCCAATATGTCCCATGAACTCTTTAGATGTTGAAGATTAAAACCTGAGCATATGTCCCTATTATTTCGGTGTTCATTGCCCTCTTCAGCCAGTATTTCTTTTGTTCATCATTGGCTTGCGCAATTATAGCGGGAACGAACATGGAGTAATGGAGGGAGAATGGAGAGTTGTCCTTGAAAATCGCAAACGGTAGCAGACTCCGAAAAAATGTTCTGAAATAATTGGAGTTTATTTATTTATTATGAAAACCTTATTTTGACCGAGTCGTTGTGGCGGAGCATAACTGTACTAACTTACTTTACGTGACTATAACTTCACTAACTGTACGTAACAATATTTGCATACAATAACCCCAGCGATTTTTTTATGACTATTTATATTATGTTCGTGCTGCCGTTATATAGGGCCATATATTGGTGCGACCCTGAGAGATAGTAGTCATAGCGTACAACCGGTTAAGCATAATTGAATAATAGCAGATAAAAAAAGAATATCAAACAGTTATTATACTTTGCTACGCCACACGATTCTTTCCACATTCTTGTGCACACATTTCACGAGCAGCTTGGTGTTTTAACAATTAAGAAAGCCCTAAAAGAATTTTTTGATACATGACGTTTTTTTACTAACGTATTCCTCTACACTCAACAACAATAAGCGTGTTATAAGCAGTTCTTTCAACAGAAACTGTTTTATGTTAAACGTTTTGACTATAATACATATTAGAAAAAAACACATTTATTTAAAAACAACAATTAAATTATTTACACAAACAATAATTAAAAAATTTCAAACAAAACAACTTTGGGAACCATATAATTATCGGTCAATCACCTAGCATTCTGCATCTCAGTTTCATTTGGGTCTTTGATTTCCTCCAGTACTTTGTACAGCAGTACTGATTTTCTTATCGCATTCTCGTATTTCTCTTTGTGACTCAAATACTCTTCGGGTACAACATCGAACAGCTCTTTCACGCTTAGCACTTTGTTCTCTGGAATGAAAAAGAATTAGTCGTTATTATTACAATTAATTACATGGTCTCTAAATTTTCAGGTGCCTCTCGTCTACTAGAGTTTTTATATTTTATTCTGTGCTATTGATGAGTTTGTCTGTCGTGGCGTGCAACCTCATTGATAGGACATAAGACCTACAACGACTAGACATAGGCTAAGACAGACTAAGACAGACACTTGACAAAAATTCAAAAATAAAGAGAGAAATGGAACGAGGGCGTACGTGATTAGCGGCAGGCAGTACTTTTTTGACTTCCTAAAAGACCGACACGAACCAGACGACGAGGAACGAATTGACCGTTCTCATATGTACATAAAATAGACGACAATAGAACTAACCGACCGTTCAAGTGGTCCTTCGACCGTTCAGGGTCTCACGTTGCGTTGGTCTGAAGTTTTAATCGAAGATGCCGCTACTCAGCTTGAAATATCCGCCAACATCTTAATAGTTCGAACGAATTTATCGCATTTCAACGACTGACTGGCTCATTGACTGAGATACGCAGGATGTTGGTCGGTATATACCAATGTGGGCCTCACACTGGTTGTCATTCACCACTATGTCTTGTCAAACTACCAGATCAGAGGACAAATACGCGAAATCGTTTGCTAGTGCAATGCCTTAGAGGTTTTGAGCAATCATGCGTTTCTGTTTCACGGGGTAGACTCTTGCTTTTTTTTATTGCTTAGATGGATGGACGAGCTCACAACCCACCAGGTGTTAAGTGGTTACTGGAGCCTATAGACATTTACAACGTAAATGCGCCACCCACATTGCGATATAAGTTCTAAGGTCTCAAGTATAGTTACAACGGCTGCCCCACCGTTCAAACCGAAACGCATTACTGCTTCACGGCAGAAATAGGCGGGGTGGTGGTACCTACCCGTGCGGACTCACAAGAGCTCCTACCACCACTAAAAATCCTCCAAAAAATGCTCGAATATCATAGGGACTTTAACTTCTAGTTTAGTGACGGCTTTCTTATAATGATTTTAAAGGATTCCGGTAATGTTGGACTAGTCTTAACATACAACCGAAGGTGGTGTCATGCTTTTATCGACCTCTGGCGAAGCTGCATTTATCAATATCTTTTTTATAACTTCCTTTTTTAAGTATTGATACATAATAGGATTTTACTTTAATTTCATTAAGATAAAATAGAATAAAAGTGTTACATAATATACTCGAGAGCAATGAATGCGGTTCACCTAAAGAAATCTATAAATCTTGGAAACTAAGAAAGCTAGGCTTATAAAATAAACGGTGTTTAATAAATACGCCTTAAATTAAAGTAATAAAAATTTTAAGTCACTTATTTCATTAAGCTAACATTTTTAGTTTACGAGATTTATATGTTTTTTAGGTGACCCGGATTCATTTCTCTCGAGTGTATAATTGTGTTATTTAAGTAATGCTTGTAATAGTAGGCAGTGGCTTGCTGATGTCCATGAGCGACGTTGACTACTTACCATCAGGTAGGCTGCCTACAGTACGGTAATAATTAAAAAAAAAAGCGTACGTATAAAGTACACATGTCAGAAGTGAGACTTCTTTGGCAAACTAATTTTGTATTTATAATTATAGTAAAAACTCAGATGATGAATATTAAATTAAAAATCCTCGTGATTTTTAAAAAATAGTAAAAATACCTAACCTTGGTAAAAATATATTAATAATTAATAAACATAATTTTAAAGTATATAAAATTCAATTTACCAATATTGTAATTGTTTGGCCAACGTTTGTAACAAGGCACCACTATTGTAACAAACATCACTTATTCTTGAACAGGGAATGCAGGGAATGCAGGAAACAGGGAACAGGGGATGTATGTGTAAATATTTTAAGCGTATATGCTGAAAACGATTTGTTTTCTGGGGAAACGAACACAGCCACAAAATAAGCCTAAATTAAACTGATTATAGACAAATTCATTGATATAAGATTACATTATATTTGTAAAAAAGAAACCGCTCATATAAAAATGACTTCTAAAAGACAGCTTTATAACAAGCTAAATCTGTTTAAAGGTAATTAAACCTACATTATTGTTTTAATTACTTCTGTATAAAGAATACGTGGAAAACATGTTTCTTGTTTCCTTTCATATTTTTTTTTACTTTATTCAATTTTATTTTTTATTACCTATTTGTTGTAATAGCGGCAATGTAAAATATTATCTACTACTTTTTTCAATCGGTCAAAAATAGTTGCGACCATACAAAACAAACCTAATACAAATATATTCTGCAACTCTACGTCTTTCAATACTTACTGTGTTCTGAGCATTGAAATGTAATACCAAGAACTACATCTAGTTCCACAATACAATAAGCACGAAATTTTAAACAAATATTTTTAACCTTATATATTAGTCTTTATGTATCATTTTAGAATAAATGTTTTTGTACTGATGACTTTTTATGTTCAAGTGACATTTTAAATTTATTCCATAATATTCTTTCTCTGACGAAAGGATCTAAATAAATATATTTTGCAATGGTAATTAAACTTAATGTTTCAGTATTAAGGTTTATAATAAACTGAAGTCGTTAACATTATTTAACTTTTTTCTAAGAAATGAAGATGTTTTCGTGTCTGCAAACTTGGCCACTCGAGCGTCTTATTTTTGTTCCTGATCCTTAATCTAGTACTATTATTGATCGAAGCTTCTTGGACAAAAAAACTGAAGTCAAGCAACATAGGGTGTGATCAGTACTTGGATGGGTAGCCGCCTGGGAACACCATGTGACGTTGGCTTTTTGCTTTGTTTTTTTGGTAACTCGTGACGACACGCAGGCAATACGAACGCGTCAACGCCAACGTCCAAACCATGTTGAGGTTCTCATCCGATCGCCAAATTCCAGCAACATCGGGCGTGGTCAGTTATTGGTCAGACAATTACCTACCATTATTTACATTTGCCACAATAGAAGTACTAATAACACGTCACATTAATTACTTAGTTTAAAAATTCGCGGCTGCTGATAAATAAATTATCGCTTGTGATAAGATAGCGACTTTAAAAATTCCTAACTATCTCTTTATGCCCTCAGATAAGAACACACAATATATAATTGTATTCCTTTCTTTTCTCCTCTATTGTCAAGTTAGGTAATTGAGTTGAAAGTGAAGACTGATCTGGCAAATAGATTTAGAGCCGTCTGCCCCACACGAATTCTCCACTAATCAAATCCTAATAAAAAATCATGTTAACAATTAGGTAGACACAATTAGGTAGGCACAATTAGGTAGGTAGGAGGTAGCAACGTGTTTTATTTGAGATGAGTTTTGCATTTTTGACATATTTGCATATTATTGAATTCATACAATCATATCAAAGAATTTACGATAGTATCGTTTTGGAATCTTAAAACAATAGTATCTTATGTTATTTCGTATAAAAAATCATCAAGTTGTTTTCAATGAATGGTATTATTTCTGAATATTTACGTATATATTAATTAACCTATCTAATATCAGTATATATTTTTATTATTAAATTGTAATAAACATACGTCATTAGACCCAAACGCCTTAAATAATAAAAGAAATATAGTGAAGTAATCCTAGACATGTTCTCAAACTCTGAGACGGCCGTGATATACCTACTTAAGTTTCAAGCGGTGTTGAATTTCGGAGAAATTTAGAAGCTAAAAAAATACTAGTTTACAGATTACAGACTAGTTAAAAGATTTTTTAATACTCGGTGGAAGCTATTTGTGAATATTAGCTAGTCTATCTTAGCTTATTAGCTAGCTAGCTAGCTTGTCAGTTTTTTTTTTTAATTCGAGTGTTTTGTGCCTATCAGTATCTTTGCGTGAATTCAGAAGTAAAGTGGCACACAGATGGTTTCATGTATTATTCATGTAGGTACATATATTTCAATATAATTTACAAATTTGAAAAGGTTTTTCTTTTCAAATATACATTATCATTATCAATATATATAAATCTACAATGGTTTTTACGGATGTTCCGTTATAACTACTGAACCATGCATCTGATTCACTTGAAACTGGGTACCCATGTAGAAAATACATGTACTTAATGGATAGGCTAATATTCATATGAGTGTTGGACTCCCTACGCCAGTTGCGGAGGCGTTAATGATGAGAATCATTGTGGGGGTGAGTAATAATAATGTTAATTTTAAATGCCCAGCGAAGCGGACGGGTACAGCTAGTTATCAATAACTATGTTAATTATCAATTGTCGCAAATTCAAGTATACTTAATCTAGTATAGAATCTAAAAACAGATCCAGTTCTTCCAAAGAAACTCGTTGCAGTGTTAACAATGCAATAGACTAGTGTTACATTTCTCTACATTTATTCAGTATTTTTTAATCTGATGTTTTTGTTTGTATTATAAGATATGTAAATAATGACTTAAAGTAGGTAACTTCATATTTACGCGCCAATTTAGCTAATCGTGTAAAGATAAAAATGGGACAACAAAAAAATACCTAAAACAATAAAACACAACGAAACGATTCAAAAAAAAAGATCTTTTAATCTACTTGTATGAATAAATAATCAAATCTATTTTATTTAGTTAATATGTATTCGTAATAACATAACCTCAAAATAACTCACCCAACTGTCTTCTTTTATGCGTAGAGATGGCGTCACCGTCGATATAATTTGTTAATTCCTCAACGTCAAAATCACATTTTTTCCTTTCGTTCGCTAAATCGACTACCGTGCGTGCCATTGTGTTAGTGACTGTGGGTATTATCGACCGCAAGCCGACACGATTGCTAATAAATACAGGAATGACGTGTTATCTTTATTGTGTTATGATTGTGATGTTATGAAGAATAATACGTAACATCTAGCATATTATTATTTTCTTTTATTTCCTACCTAAGCTGATTGTCTTGAGAGGCTATATCAGCGTTACCCTAGCGTGTAGGTGAGCTCGGGGCTCAAACCGGAGGTGTTGCTAACACTGGCCCTATCAAGAGCAGTGCTTTGCAAAATCTACCATCGGATCGGAAACGCTGGGAAGATCCGGCGAGAAACTCAGTGGGCTGTGTCTGTGGATTATTTTGCTCGCCGAGCCCTTAGTCGCAAGTGACGGGTTCGGCGAGGACGGTGACCGGTGCTTGTGGTACCTAAAGGCACCGTTAATGGATCGGGAAGATCCGTAATGACGTGCTTAGGGCGATGTCGACTGTTAAACATTCGAATTTATCTTTGTAATTAAAGGTTTGCTTTATTCGGTATTAAAATCAACAATTGGATATTTTTAATTAAACTTAAATTTAGTTTACCTTTTTCAAATAGCTGAAGAACTTTTTGATTATGAATTTTTTTTTTATTGCTTAAATGGGTGGAGAAGCTCACAGCCAACCTGTTGTTAAGTGGTTACTGGAGTCCATAGACATCCATAGCTTAAATGCGCCACCCACCTTGAGATATAGTTCTAAAGGTCTCAAGTATATTTATATAGTCTTTCACCTATTGATATAGTATTTAAGGGCAGTGCTAAAGTTAGTGGTTTAATGAGTTAAAGGAGTATTAGTTACCGACGGACCCTGTCTAATGTTATCTCACTATCTACTATCATCTGTCTTCGTGTTTAGGATTAATTCTCTAACGCACTAAAAGGATTTTTTTTACAAATGTGATCATCATAATCATCATACTAATCGGCTACTCTTGGCACAGCAGTCGTGGTCATGTGGAATCCTGGTCTTGACAGCTGTTCTCCATAGTTCGCAAACTGAGGCTTGGCGCACGCATTTTCATCTGATCAGTCCAGCGCATAGGTTGTCGTTCACGAGATCTTTTACCATTGACCCTACCCTGAACAACAAGTTTCTCAATAGACTCGTGATATGATAATGACTGATACGGACTGTAAAATTGAATTTTAGACAACTCGTAGAATTCAAATGTCACTGAATCCAAGTCCAATCCAGTCTAAAGAAGATCGAAATGCTTTTCTGCCCGATTTCGCAATTCCGAATTTTCGTTTCAATCTTCATGTCTATGAAGTCAGTACTATGCAGCCACGTTATATCCGCGGATAACTTAAGTTTCAAACGAATCCTTAACAGCAGAAAGCAGCCAGAAAACAGACACAACGGAAACTCTAAAGCTTTAGATTGGAAAATGAGAACTTGACTCAGTTCATTACGAATGACTTATTTTTTGTCAAGAACACAAGGCATTTTTTTTATATTGTTTTAATTGAAATAATTAACATATTATGTATCTAAAAATTTTTATTAATAAATAACACACATTGAAGACATTCCCTAACATAAAAAAAAACATATGGAAAAAGGTCATAATTTACTTCGATTCGATCTTTTGACTGGATTTCGTTTTTTCCAAAAAATATAATATGTAAAATTAATTTCAAAGTTTCCCCTGCATGAGAGGTTTGAGGTACTGGTGGAAGGATCTGTTGACGGGCTCCGCGTTGAGAGGACTCTTCAGCGCCTCCTCCATCAGGCGCTCGTACACGCGTCCGTCGTACGCGCCCAGAGTCGATTGTAATATCTATGACATTTTAACGATCTTATTAGCTTAGTCTAATTGAATCGTTGTAACAATTCATATGTAAAGTAGAGGGTTTTAAGGCTCAAGTTTGCATAAAACAACTATACAACCTTTTTGTAGAAACACGATGGTTTTCCAGAAATAAACATTCACTCCAACGGGCTTAAATCTACCCTATAAATTACTTAGAAACTAACGGAATAGGTTATTATAATAGTGATATTGTCAATATAGATTAAGGTGATCGGATATCTGTAGCTTCTGAAAAATGCCTCGCTCCCTTATCTCTGACGATTTCGGCACAATTTTTAGGGTTCAAACTATATCGAATATACCGAATTTAGTTAGAACTACATTCGATTTTTTTTAAATGGTATGGATTTATTTAATAACCAATCAACGCAGACCTCGTCAGGGAAATCAAACGCGTCGACCAATCCCACAGCATTCGGTCGGATCGCAGCCAACAACTCTTCGTATCTCTGTTGACAGCTGATTAAGTCGTCTTCTGTCGTTGAAGTATACTGGAAAAAATAAATAATGATTTACATGTTTAAAAAATTGTTTACGTATTTCAGGCTCTTATTGAACGACCTTGTATCCAAAACTGAGCCAAGAGCTGAAATCTTAAGACAAGTCGGAGAAACAAATTCAATCAATCTAAAAACAGAGGAGTAGTCAAGAAAGGAACGAAAAATAACACGAATCACTATAAAAGCGATAATTGATCCGACATTAACCTTTATGAAACTGTTTTGATGATCACGACATATGAATTTCACTTTATTCGTGAACAATTTTCAGTGACTTTATTCGATTAAAAATGTACTTTTCAATAAACGTCAAGTGACATAGGACTTTGATGTAAGATTTTTGACGTAAGACTTTTTGGCGGGAATGCAAGTCGCGAAACTGGGTGAATTGATTTATTTTGTTAGTTTTTCTTTGGGCTTAAACGGTAATAATAGTGGTTTCTTAACCATTTAGCATCTGTATAAATGTAGTACGAGTATGGGAAAATTAAGCCAAGTCTCCGGTGGGGGTTTCTGGGATCCTGCAAACAGTATACTGAAATATCAGTAAATTGTTACCATTTCAATTCATTTCATTGCGACCTTATTTGTTTAATCTCGTCAGATTTCATTTACTTCCATCCTTATTGTATATATCGTTTTAATTTTTTTTTTTTTATTGCTTAGATGGGTGGACGAGCTCACAGCCCAGTGTATAAAAATACTTTTATATTGTAGTTATATAAAAGTATGTTATATGTTTATTATTGTGATTATTGAATATTTTTAAAAACTCAACACAGGCAATTATGGCATCGAATGAAGCAGATTTCTGTTTTGAAGAAAGAAAAAACATGGTAATGTATAGTATGCTATCTTTATGTCTATGCTCTACGCAAAAAAAATGTGATATAGAATTTATACATTGTATTTTGGTTGTAATAAATTGCAATTTCCAACTTTCTTGTAAAAAAGACAAATATGAATTTCGTTGCACATTTTTAGCTCACCCTCAATAAGTCGCCAGTTCTCTCCAAAGCCCAATGTGATAAATACAGCATGTTAAGTTGATCCATGACAGTTTTCACATTCGGACTGGAATTCGCTGTGAGCCTTACTGTTTCTTTTCTATACACGTCGCAGATCACTGCACGACAATGCGCCTAAGCAGATAATAATTTTGGTTAAATATATTAGAAATATATATTTATTTTTTATTCGTTATCCATAATAAATGTATATGTGTAGAACCAGCGTAAAAATTTTATTGTTTAAAAAATATTGACATCGTGGCTTGTATTGCTTCTTACCAAAACTGAATATAAGCTTTATTAGAAAAAAGAGAGATTAAAATAAAATGTTACCTCGGCCGCAGCTACGAGTTGCACCCCGGTCAACTCCCATGCATCTTCAAAAGCTTTTCCATTCTTCATACGTTTTCTTAAACTGCTAACACTGGATGATATGTTTCTGAAGGAAATATTTTTATTAAGCTACTTTTAATTGAATTTAATATTTTTACTGTGCATTTTTAATTAATTGTAAGTAATGTAATTAAAAAGTAATAAATTCACAAATTTCGGAACTATTACAGTTTTAATTTTTATAAGCCATTTATATTTAAAATTTAAGTATAATTTAGAAAAAAAAAACCTTATTTATATGCTGAAGATTGGAGATTAAAATAAAATTTAAACACAAACGACTCAAAAAAAAGTAATATTATTGCAAAAAAAAGAAAAAAACAAACTCCGCCGCGACAGTGTTATCACTGCCGTGACCAGGATTCGAACCTGGGTTACTACGGCCACAACGTAGGGTCCTAACCACTAGACGATCACGGCTACCGGAGTCGACACCGGTTTGACAAAAATTCGTATCATATTCCAGTAAATACAAAACTTTCACTCTTCATATTGTGTGAGTGCCAATAAAAGCTATTAACAATCGTTTTAGGTGCCCCCAAGTGGATCTTATCCTCTTCAAAATAAAGTGTATATTAGGTTAAGTAAATTATTGAGTTGAGTCTTCTTTCTTTCTAGTAAACTAAACATTCCGAAAAGAGATTTATCTATTATATTAATGAGATATTATACAGATAGCTGAAATAGCCCCTTGCGCTACCAGCATTTAGGTAGGAAAAAATCAGTGATTAGAAATGGTATTTTTTTTCAACTAAAATGCTTACATCTAAAGTGCTGTGATGAAATATCAGATCGCACTTTTAGAATTGAAGTAGTTTAATCCAAAATTCTTGTTTTTTTTGTAAACGCCAAAAATGTAATTGAAGAATTGTTATTTTTTAGTTTCCATTTTAATAATTTAAGGTACATCATTATGCGCTTGATTTAAAAGAGACGGAAATATTCCTTGTCTTTTCTAAACTAAAGGAGACTGTTTAATTTAATAAACTTATAGAATACATGTTCACTTTTTATTTAAGTCACTTCAATTATAAAGGTACAACAAAGGTATATCAGTAAAGCATTTTACCGCGATTAAATAATCGTAACAATCGTCCACAATTAAAGTAAAGAGACAAAATTTTCCTCGAACGCTGCGGCGATAGAATTGAAACAAAAAAAAAACGTTTTCGTGACGGGCGATTCTAATGAATAAATAAACGAAAAAAAGACGAAACGCTTGCAAGACAAAACCATAATCTTCGCAGTTGTCATAAATACCAATT